ACTCAGCTCTGCGATGTGCGCTCTGGTAACACTCATTATTTTCAGATCAAAATTAAAAAGTAAAAACCAATATTCTTTTCAATACCAGTTGAACAGTCTTCAGTTGAACCTTTCTGTTCTTACAGAAAGACAACTCCACATTTAAGCAAGACAAGACAAGATAAGAACAAGATAGGCTTGCAGTCTTTTAAGGTATAAGACTGCTTGATCATTTTCCTACCTCCATAAAAGAAACAGTTGTAGCTTTGGAAAAATGTTTCCCCAAAGTGGTTAGTCTTGGTTATTCAATACTCTCTCATCGCAAGAGTTTGATTTTCAGAAGGGCCTGTTACTCAAAATTGCCCAACTGGGTGAATTTTCACATCTCCATTGACTTTACTGAAGCTTCATGGAATCACAGAATGTGTTGGGTTGGAAAGGACCTTTAAAGCTCATCCAGTCCAACCCCCCTGCAGTGAGCAGGGACAATGTTACCAGATCAGGTTGCTCAGAGTCCCATCAAGCCTGACCTTGAATATCTCCAGGGATGGGGCCTCCACCACCTCTCTGGGCAACCTGTACCAGTGATCTACCACCCTCATAGTGAAGAACTTTTTCCTAATATCCAACCTAAATCTACCCTTTTCTAGTTTGAAACCATTACCCCTCGTCCTATCACTACATGCCCTAGTGAACAGCTCTTCTCCAGATTTCTTATAGGCACCTTTCAGGTTTGGAAGGTTGCTATAACGTCCCCTCTGAGCCTTGTCTTCGCCAGGCTGAACAATCCCAGCTCCTTTAGCCTATCTTCATAGGAGAGCTGTTCCAGCCCTTTGATCATCTTTGTGGTCCTCCTCTGGACCCGCTCTAGCACTTCAATGTCCTTCAACAACCTGGAGCAGCTAATGACAAGACTCTTCCACAGACAGGCATGAAGAGTTAAAGCCCAAAATCAAGTCCCAGTCCTGCAGCTAAACACAGCTTCAAAAACTCCCCTCACATGCCAAACTCTGCCCACTTGGAGCTTAAAATATTTATTTGAACATTTGAGTATCTTGCAATATTATTTCTGCTACTTTCTTCCTTTCTCTACTGTGCTAACAGTGCTTGCTTATTCTTGAGATGTAGGAGGTTTTTTGGTGTGTTTTGGTTTTGGTTTGGGCTTCATTCTTTTAGGTTTGTAACACACATTTCCATGCTGTGAGCAAACTTTTTGGAATGTGAAAGCATTTTAATTTTCCTTCGTTAAGACCAAATGCATTAAGTGCCAGATTTTATACAGCAGTGCTAGAATGCTGTGCAACTTTATAACTTTAGAAGAAATGTATTAAGACATTTTGAAAATCTCAGACTCGCAGCAATGTCACTTCTGTAACCTTGTTTGAAAACATGCCATTAAAAGCATTCATTTCAAGTATATCTACTCAAGGAGTGCAATTTGTTATTAAAGCAGGAAAAATTGGTCTAACATTACCATCTCTGTAGTACTTTCATCACTAGCTGTGATTTCACACAGCCCAAAATTTGAGGTAAAACAGCAGAGTAGAAGTATGCAGTTCCTTTTTTCATCCCATGGATTTTCCAGAGTGATACAGATCCAGTACAAACCCTCTATTAAGAGCAGCTTCACACAAGCCAGGATGCTACCAAAGCTGGTTAAAATCAATAGTATCAAGAAACGGTGCTGGGATCAATGGGCACCACAGAAACCAAACCACATCAGAAAGAAAGGCAGTTCTCATCCTCTTCTCTACTCAGGAAAGAGAAATTACCCTTTGTGGATATAATAAATTAGAAAGGAATGTAAAAATTTTTGGAACATCCATTCCCCATACCTTCTCCTGGTCTTTTTGCCCTGTGAGGTCCAAATTTTGTGTAGAGATGATTATTTCATTCTGTAAGATGAGGTCCTTCAAGAACTAGTGTTGCCAGTTAGACCTGTGAGACCTTTCTGAAGAAGTCAGCTTCAAGCATCATAATCCTACCTTCCCCTAAATAAAAATTCTGCTGCCACTACAATTATTTGCAGCTTCCTTTTTCCATCTTTTGAAAATCTTTGCACAATTCAAGACCTATCTCCTCTCCATGCTAAAGACATTCGCAGAGACACCTGATGTGTTCTTAGCCGTGCATATCAGTCATCAGTTACTCGATTTATGCAGGCATAAGCTTTTAAAGAGCAGTATTTGCCAAGGGTTAGCCTAAAGCCAGGACACTTCTCAGGTGTCAAGTAAGGAGGAAAAAACAGGAGATCATATAGTGTAGTAAGCACTAATGAAAATTACTTACGTGTGGGAAGAATGTATAATATTCAAGAACAGGAGCTACTTGGCCAACTTAAAACTACAACTGCTTGCGTCCCCTGAGCTGAAAAGGTCACTGAACCCTCAGAAAAGAAACTGGATAAAAGGAGTTGAATCTACAATAAAAACAATCTGTGCTGTCTGAGTGATAACAGCAGCAGAACTTGCCAAGCAAAAGATTTAATTCTTACCTTTTGGGTGGTTCCACATCCAGACAAAAGACAACTGGAACAGTCACGGCCTCTCAAACCAAATGCCTGGTATAAATAAAGCTCTCTTGTTTTCTTTTTGCGTCTGAAAAAATGCAAATCTTCGGTAAAGTACAATGGTTTACATTAAAGAGGAAGTTTGTAGCTCCTCATAGCATTACAAATGTTGCACATTCTAGAAAGAAGAAAATGTACTAATTATAGAGGTGAGAAATCAATGTGCAGTACTCAACGCAGCTGAAAGTCTTTCCAGACTTACACCTCTTATGTTTCCAACCATTGCATTTCCAAACAGAGTTGGGAAAAAACCCCACCTTGATGTTAAGAAAAGACCTGAATCAAAAAGTACTTTTTAAATAAAAATAAAATTCAGAAAAATGTTTATGCTTTAGTGTAGAAAAATGGGATCTAACCAATCAACTTTACGTCAACCCTTAAACTGCAGTAGGTACGTGTGGATGCGACACACTGGAATTAAAATAAACAAAAAACCAAAACCAAAACTTTTCCTCAAAATACAGACACACCTCTCAGACATAAGTACTGACTCTATCTGGAAACAATTTACTTAAGAATTCTTGAGTAAAATACTTTTCTGTTTTCCACCCAAAGTCAGATAATAATACAATACGTTGCTGAATTGCTTCAGAAAGTTTTTACATTAAGAATGTAATCTGTTACCACATACAATCATGACGCTGTTCTAAATGTGGTATTATCCGCAAGTGGGTCGTGAATATTTCAATAAATCCTTAGAAATCTTTTGGAGACTGCTAGCTTCAATTTTAGATAACATTAAACATAATTCTTGCAAATCAACACTGAATTTTAACCAGCAATTACAAACCCAAAGTTTCCTATGCAGATTAATCAAGTTGATACATTTGGTGCATCTGTCTCTATCATGTTGTAGCTGTTATTACACACCTGATGGCTCATTCCTGTCAATTTACTGAAGATATAAGAAATCAGCACTGCATTTGTGACCAGCTCCAGCCAGTTACACCAAACGGCAAAAAGGTCTCCATCCTACAAAATGTAACACGCCTAAGGCTTGTTGGGTACTTACAAGATTAAAACAGAGAAAAAATAGCTATCACCAAAGTTGAACTATCTTCAGTTCTTTTCCATTAACAAATTTAAATTCCCTATCACCACACTTAAGGGAGAAGCTACCACTAAATGTCTGCACTCTGATTTTGTATAGCGTTAATAGAACCCAGCAGACTTCGAAGAGGCAGACGACCCATTCACTGTATTATATCAACTTATATATGAAAAGCTCTTTTCCGCTTTTCTACCCAGAACACCCATAAATAAGTTCAATCACATAAAAGGTCCGCCTGGACTTCATTATGCTACTTTCTTGATTAGAACTGAAGGAATAATTTGTCAGAGTCAATGCAAAACAGCATTTTTTACTTGGCTGTGAAAGGGAAGCCAGCACCTAAAAAATTAGAGCGTTAGAAGAAAACTTGACAATTTTGCTATTAATTAATAACTTTTATAGCTCAAATTTAAAAATATTGAATCAGACACAATTCAAGATTCATGAAGAAAAATCTGGAACTATATACATGCATAATTAAGAATATCTAGATTCTTGCCAATATTTACTTAAGTTTTTTGTACAAGTTCTTTCACATAGTTAAATTTACAAGCACATCTGTTTAAAACATAAGAACATACATCTTTTATAGCATTTATAAATAATTTGAATAATTTTTATTCTTAAAAACAAAAAATATTTCTTTGATTTGAGAGATTTGGCTTCACTGTACAGTACTGGACAGGTATTTATCCAGTGGGATGGAAGGAGTTATCATTATTCATTTATCTAAGTAACAGTCACCTTACTGGTACCCAGAAATATCATATATGGCTTTAAATACCTCCTAAACTCAAAGGACCATCTCACAGGTACAAAGTTCAGTCCATCTGTGGCACATTTCTAATTAAAGTCTGGAGACTTTGTCTGGATTAGATCCACAATTCTGCAAAGATATTCTAAGTTGTACTCAGAAATAAGAAACACTTCTATTTAAAAAAAAAAAACAAAACAAAAAAAACCAACCACAAAACAACCCTGCTTCCAGTGAAGCTAAGTACATATTAATTCTGTATAAAATGGGTTGTATGTACTTTTCTAGGAATTCTAGCTACCATTATAGATGTTTTATTATTGTGGGATAACATGGCTTTGAACAGACAATACTTTTAGGGATTTACAGGGATCAAATGAGAGATCTGAGAAGGGGAAGAATAGAGTTTCCTCAAGATATGATCATTTTTTCATGAAAAAATAAAAGTCTGAGGTGGTTTTGTATATAATATGTCTAAGGTACCGACACACTCCAAACAGTCAGATCACTATCTAGAAACAAAGTCTTGCTTCACACATTAATTGAAAATCTGTCCGCTTGCTTGCCTCTGGTTGTGTTGGGGAAAAAAAATCCCAAACTTCTGCTTTGGCAAATCAAGTAGCCAAATCTCCTTTGAACGGTGTTCTCTAGAGCTCCTGCACTGAGTGGTCCACAGCTTCTTCCTCCACAGGCTGCATCGCTTCCTGAACATAAACGATGAATTCCGAAGCCTCTCCGCCCTGCGTGTACACAGTCACCGTCTCAATTCCCTCCACTTCATCCGAGGACACCACCAGGTGATGCTGTTCAGACAGCTCCACCGAAGCTTGCTGCAGTGTCTCTTGAATCATCAAAGTGTGATTAGCTGATTGCTCCTCTTCTTTCACCTGGGGTGAAATTGAAGAGGTTACAGATAGACGTTAACTTTCCAATACGTACCCAGTATTGTGATGATTAACAGAAATACAGCACAGAAATTGGATAGTTTTGAAAGAAAATGTCAGCTTTACACAGAATTTGTAGTGAGCACTACTGATTAATAAGTGTATTGATAGACAGAATACTGAAAGCAGTAACACAGCATCTCAGTTGTACGCATAGAGACCTGCAGAGTTCCAGGAATGTAGGTCTTTGGAGACAGCTTTAATCTCTCAGCAGCCATTCATCCAAAACTGCTCTTATGTAAATAAAACTGAACTCAAACAATCCCTCTAGTAGCACTGAGATAAGAATCCATTCAAAACCACATGAAAAACAACTGCTGTAGCCATTTCTTTCTCCCCTTTTTTTTTTCCTAGGAAACAAATTGCTCATATAAGTAAAAAATTCATTGTAAACCTTAATGGACTTCTATTAGAAAACTGAAATGTAAGTATTAGGGAAACAGATCCCTAAGACCTACTGTTTGTGAGGCAGCACCTTTTATGTTAGTGACAGGAACAATTGAAAATACCAGAATTTTTACTGAACATTTTGCTTCTTGTCAAAAAGAAAAGAACACCACCACAGTTTTGTATAGAATTTCAAAGAGGTCAAACAGCTCTGTCATTATTAAAATACCATAATTACTAGAATTCAAGAACAAATCTTAATTCTTTACCAGATCCATACAAAATTCCTATGCACGGTACTCCAGACCAGTAACACCTCAGAAAACTGTAAGTCATGCGGAGCAAATGCATTCTTTCCAATATTAGTGATAAAATAATGTGCATTTGAGGAGAGAATGGAATAGCAATTCTTTGGTATGTAAGATATATGCAAAGGCATTTGTTAGATGTTTTCAGTACAATACCACTCCCCGTGTTCATCGAAGAGAGCTGTTTTATTTACAGGATCATAAACACCAACCCACCTGCAATGCAACGTGCAGTTAATCAAACCCTCTCTTCCTTCTCTTTTCAGAAAATGGGCTGTTTTTGTTAAGGCCTATTTCTCTTTCATTTAGGCTTAGCAAATGCTTTATGAAGTAAGCATCCAGAGATAAATCATGCTTATTTCTCACTGTAATAAAGTAGCTGCTTGAATTTGTAGGAGGTCACATTCTCTCCCACAAATACTTCTTTCATATCAATGAGAGGATCTATAAATTGTCCACTTACACAAACAACAGGAAACCAAGACAGAATTGCTGGCTCACCTACATCTCATGATTGAAAGCACAGCTCCATGGTACTTCCAATAACCCTAGGAAGTGTAATAAGAAGAGAACAAAGGATTGATAGATATCAATCTACTGGATCTTGGTGTATGCTTGTATTGCAGAGCAGTATATGGTGTGCTCTTGGCAGTATTGAACTTGTACGTGATTTTGAAAAGAATAGGTCAAACACAGTAGATTCCACCAAGTATGGAATTTAAGTCATACAAATTAGAAAAGAACTATTTTTTATAATTAGAAGTATGATTCAAAAGTTCTCCAATTCTCATTTGTATGACATTATTTTGTAAGCGGTAGTATTAGAACAATCAAGTTCAAGAAGATGTAATTAAGACCAGTGTTGCTGCTTAACAGGGGAGCAGGAACAGAAGGCAAGAACTACAGCAAAGCTTCCAAGCACGTGTTTGGCTCCTTGGAGACTAGCAAGGAGAAAAAGAAATTCTCTATGTTTGTTTTACTGATGCTCTTCTCTAATGTCATTTTTTCCCTAAGCAACCATTCCCACTGTTGTACAGTGACTTCTCCTTTAACTTCTTTATGTCATGTTTAAAATATCTGTCAGATCAAGAAGACTGCAGAGACGCACAAACCCCTTAGGACTTCATATCACTTTGAACTTCCACTCAATTCATCAGGCAATACAAAGCGTTTTCTTGAACAATAAGAAGAATGTTCAGGTATTAAATTATTCAGAGGTCCTAGAGCCAGTATGCCTGCGATATACTGATGAAATATACGTGGATTTTATGTGGTGAAAGATTCAACTTCTAAAAGAATCTTGCCATCATCATTGACCTTAAGGCTTTGTCGCGCAGGATTCAGATTTTAGGGATAAAACGACAGGCATGGGCTGAAGTCCTTTCCATGTCTGTTTCTCTTCCAAGCGTATCTGAACATTTTAATTGAAAGTTACTTGCTGAAGTTCAAGCTCAACATCCTACAAAAGTGGGTGATGCTGGATACTTTTCTTGACAAAATAAAATTTTCAATCACCTTCAGTAAAACTAATTTATGCTGTCACAAAGTACGAGTATCAACAAAGTACTCTTTGCTAATGGAAGCTTGAGCTTATCTTTGATAAGCACGAAGCTACAACATGAAAAAAAATAGCACTGTTAACTTTCTTCTCTTGTTCCTCTCCACACATACTTTTTTTTAAAAAAGAAAATCTAAATTCTCCTGAAAGCAATAGGATTTTTGTGAATTAGAACAGAATCCACTATTTCAGTTGGAAGGGACCTGCAAAAATCATCTAGTCCAACTGCCTGAGCACTTCAGGGCATCATCATGACAAAGTTAAAACATGCTGTTAAGGACATCATCCAAATGCCTCATAAACACTGACAGGCTTGGGGCGTTGATCACCTCTCTAGGAAGCCTGTACCAGTGTTTGACCACCCTCCTGGTAAAGAAATGCTTCCTAATGTCCAATCTGAACCTCCTCTGGTGCAGCTTTGAACCACTCCCACGAGTCCTATCACTGGATACCAGGGAGAAGAGCTCAGCACCTCCCTCCCTATTTCCCCTCCTCAGGAAGCTGGAGAGAGCAGTGAGGTTGCCCCTCAGCCTCATTTTCTCCAAAGGAGACTAGCCCAGAGTCCTCAGCCACTGCTCACAGGACATGCCTTCCAGCCCTGTCACCAGGGATAAACCCTTCCTTTAACTGCCTGGTCATGCTGTGTTTGATGCACCCCAGGATGTGGTTTGCTCTCTCAGCTGCCAGGGCATGTTGCTGACTCTTGTTGAGCCTGCATTGACCAGCACCCCCAGATCCCTTTCTGCAGGGCTGCTCTCCAGCCACTCCTCTCCCAATTCACACTTGTGCCTGGCATTACTCCACCCTAGGTGCAGAATCCAGCATTTGGACTTGTTAAATTTCAACCCATTAATCATTGCCCAACGCTCCAATCTATCTATATCACTCTGCAAGGCCTCTTGTCCCTCAAGACAGTCAACAGCACCTCCCAGTTTGGTATCATCAGCAAACCTGATAACAGTGGATTCAACTCCTGGGTCGAGATCACTGATAAATACATTCACTACAACCTTTGAGCTCTGCCCTTAAGCCAGTTCTTCACCCAGCGCACCATGAACTTGCTCATCCCATAGTTGGACAACTTGTCTAGAAGGATGCTGTGAGGGACAGTTTCAAAATTGTTACTAAAATCCAGAAATTCACACACAAGACTCCCATTTCATAACTGTCCTCTCCTTGTTCCTGAGGCTACCTGCTCCAGTGCCAGCTCCTGTGTGAAAGGAAAGGACATACACAAGATCTACTAACAAAGATCATAACAGGCAGCAGTCTAATCACTAGCAAATTCAGATGGGAAGCTGCAGTTAAAACTGTTAGATAATTAAAATCTCACGGCTTGTTATGAATCTCACAGCTTGTTATTCACACCTCAAATCCTGTGTTCAGCTTTGGGCCCCTCACTACAAGAAGGACACTGTGAGGCACTGAAGTGTGTCCAGAGAAGAGCAACGAAGCTGGTGAAGGGTCTGGAGCAGAAGAACTATGACGAGCAGCTGAGGGAGTTGAGTTTGTTTAGTTTGGAGAAGAGGAGGCTGAAGGGAGACCTTATCACCATCTACAACTGCCTGAATGGAGGGCATAGGGAGGTGGGTGTCAGTCTTTTCTTCCATGTAACCAGTGACAGGACAAGAGGAAATGGCCTCAAGTTGTGCCAGAGGAGGTTTAGGTTGGATATTGGGAAGAATTCCTTTACTGAAACAGTGGTCAAGCACTGGAAGGGTCTGCCCAGGGAGGTGGTGGAGTCCTCATCCCTAGTGGTGTTCAAGAAGTGCCTAGATGTGGCACTTCAGGACATGGTTTAGTGGGCATGGTGGGGTTGGGTTGAGGGTTGGACTTGATGATCTCAGAGGTCTCTCCCAACCTTAATGATTCTGTGTTTCTAAGAATGAGCTCACAATTACAGCCCTTGATGCTAGAGATCCTCAAACAAATATCTAAATAGGGGTGTCTACAATTTGGCTCTTTATTATGTAACCCACACTAACCTCCCCTGGGTTAGTGGCTATACATAATCCTCTGACAACGTGCCTCAGGCCAGAAAAATTACACAACATTTGCTAAGAGCTGCAAGAATGCACAACACAGCCTAAGAAGGATCTCAGACAGGCTTGCTTTAGTCACTGTAAATCAAAACACATAAATAATTTTAAATATAGTTTTGCGAGTGTACATAAATACTGAAGAAAGGAAAATAAATAAAGCACAGTTGACACGAAAATGAAATGAAACCAGAATCTCATTCAATTCAATAGCAGCCATCTAAGACTTATTCAGTTTTATATGCTTTTGAAATGAAAATGGCCAATAAAGAAAGTTAATTTAACCTCTCTACCTGACTTTATCGATGTGGTTTTATTACCCTTGTCATGCAGGGTAAAGAAGACTAATGCCCTTATTTCTGATGTTCCTAGCTTCCAGTGTCTTTCTTGGACAGCTATCTGCAATCCTTTTTGTTTGACAAATCACCACATTATTTTAGACATTTACATTTCAAATCAGTTCAATGTTTACAAGTTTCTGCTTGGTTCCTATTAGATTGTTCCAGGGGGAATAATCTCAAAATGTTAATTTACATCCCTCAAATTCACAAAACAGTGGGACAGCTGCCATCAGAACAAATGAAGTCACTACACTCAATTCTTTTTATTGGCATCTGAAATCTTTTGAAGAGTAGCATCCAAGACCTGTTT